TGTCGCCTCAGGTATGCTTTTCTGTTAATTTTCCTATGGATAATGTCAATAACTTACTGTCGTATTCAGCAGCAAACGCCACGACTCACTAAGCACAAAATACTATGACCTCCCCAGTGGCCTCCAGGATCTCGTTCCTAGACCTTGACGGCCCGCTACCTTTGCAGTTGAGCGCCGGCATGAGCACCGCTTTTTATGCATAGAATGACCTCGCAACATTCAACGTGCCCAGCACGCCACGACAAACAATGATTGTGGTGACCGCAAACGCGGTGGCCGAGGCAATGGGGTGGTGGCCGTGGGCAGGCCGGGGTGATCCATCGACCAGCGAGTGTAAGTTTGGTCCTAGTCCGTGCAAAACGAACATAATAACTAAATATAGCAAGATAAAGAACTGGCCAATTTGGCACTGGTGATCGCCCAGACATACGGGCAGCGCGACTTGGTGCCTTATGTGTGCCGGTCCTCTTTCCACCACCAGGCGCAACTTGATGCCTTACGTTTCGTCTCGGTCCTCCGTCCGACAAGAAAGACACAAGCATTAGGGGATTTTACTGGGATGACTGTTCGGCCATGGGTTAATGCTGTCCCGTTGACTTCGATTAGCTTCCAAGATTGATCACTAATCGCCATGGTGTTGTCCGACTTGGCACAGATGCGCCGAATCGCTACGCGCCCAGACATACGGGCGGCGAGACTTGGTATCTTACGTGCCGTCACAGGCCCTTTCTCCGACCTTTGGCCACACGGGGCACAAGTGACCACTGAAACGGAACTTCCCTTGGCTTATCATCGGCTAACACACGCCCAAGCACTGATTACATGGAGCCTTTCTGCACTTTGGTCCTGCAATAGTAAAATATTTCCTACTCAGCCCGGGTTTACGCCTCACAATATGACCTCCACGGCCGCATACTCCACCAGGGCATGACTTGGTATCTGACGTGCCGTCCTAGGCGTCTCTTCAACCACCACCAGGGCACGACTTAGTTTTGTTGGGGCTTCGAGAGGGGTATGAAGATTGTTGTCTTCCAATGAATCATTACTGTGATCGGCTCCATCACCTTCGCTCATGCTGGCCAATTTCTCATCTGGTCGAGCGCTCCGGACCGGGGTCTGCTGTTGTCCTCCACTGAATCACTACGGTCATCGGATCCCTCATCTCAATTCTTGCTGGGGAATCTCTCATCTGGGCGAGCTCTCCGGACGGTTGACTTGCTATTGTTTCTGAAGTTATTTGCTTTGTTGCTTCATTCTCATTACATCACATACATCTTTCCCCTATTACCGGCCGCGAGATATCCCGGATGTTCGAGCATATCGTGCCCGGCCCGCATTCTTCAAGCGCTTGTATCCGGCAGGGCACAAGCGACCCCTTTCAACCGGAACTCCTTTGCGGCCCATCGCATCTAACCGTTGTCTACATAAACCTCTCCCCACTCGGTCCTTCGGTTTCTCGAGGAAGTATTGCCGCCACCACCAAAATATGCACTAGACCCCGTGCGTCCTTGTCTCACGCCGTACAGTGGGCTTCGTCACTGACCTCCACGGTCGACTACTTCACCAGGGCACGACTTGGTATCTTACGTGCCGTGCCACCGCTTCCATCGACTCTAGGGCTGGTAATATGCCGGCACGATACTTATTATGCTGTTATTATGCCACCTCATACAAAGTTCGGCACCATACCGTATGATACCCAACTTTTTTCAACTACAGTACCACAACCACTTCTTTTCCAAAAACAAACGTCATTGTCGTTCATTTCAGATAATTACGCATCGATCGAGCCCCTTTACACTTAATTGAATAGAAATCTGGCTGGTTTCTTCGTTGGTGAAGCCGGCACAATTAGACACCATTGGCTCGTTATTATCACCACCTTCATACCACATCATCACTACCGTTGCTACCACTCACCAAGGCTTCCACTTCCAGTCGCCACCAAACCAGGGCTACCAGGGGCTTCGGAGGCTTCGTAACACCTGCTGGATACCTAAGTCCGACCGGAATAACCAGTTGATCCGAATGTGCGGTATTATGCTGTATTGATACGGTATTATGCCATGTGGTATAATACTATTACCAACCCTAATCGACTCCCCGGGCTCATCACCGACGTGGAACTATGGAAGACAGCAAAAACGACAGCGGGTCCTCGAAATGATACTACTTGAGACGAGGGATTATATTAACGGTCATTCCCGGCATTGACCCATCTGTGGCTTGGACGCGACTTTGTATCTGACGTGCTGTCCCAAACTTCCCTCCAATCGCCAGGGCACGACTTGGTATCTTATGTGCCCTCCCAATCTCCCCTCCGATTAACAGGGTACGGTTTGGGAACTTGCGTTGCGATCGTAAAAAGACACAATGCAGGCCATGGGACCGTCCAAACTTCCATGGTCGAACCCATACAAAGTAGGGTGGCTTCATAAAGCGCAAATCTATTCGCGAAGAAACAGAACACCATCGCCCAGGTGGCAACCGCCGCTGCTGACGAGGCTGGTGGAAATAACCCCATCAAGGATAAGAAGCACGATTCGGACGCTGAAGAAGTCCCTAAAGGAGAAGACAACCGCCGATCACATGGAACATTTTCCCCTTTCCGCCCTTTGATTTCTTAGTGAAACATTTGCTACCTACCCAACTACTACCAGCAAATCTGCACTAGACGCCATGCGATCCGGGTTCACGTCCTAGTAAACTTTGTCACTGGTTCCACGGCCGCCTACTCCACCAGGGAACGACTCGGTATTTTAGGTGCTGGCCCTGCACCATTTTCGACAACTACCAAGGCACGACTTGATATCTTATGCCGTCCCGGCCTTGACCCCGACCTTTCGCCACACGGGGCACAAGTGGACACTTCGAAACGGAACTTCCTAGAATCGCATTAAACATCAAAAAGTACATTTCTGATTTCATCGATGACAGCGTTGGCGGTCGCCAACACCCTCGCCCAGATGGCAGCCGCTGCTGCTAACGAGGCTGGTGCAGAGAACACCATCAAGGATGGGAAGCAGGACTCGGACGCTGAAGTGGTCCCCCAAAGAGAAGACGAGTAACTTTCAGAGGTTATATATCCATGTGGGACAGGGCTAGTGTGAGATCTATCAGCATTCATTTGTACGAGGATGACAAGTTTGACGACGGAATCACCATCACGGAGTACAACCTGATATCTTGCGTCCCGTCCCGCTCTCCCCTCCAACTAACAGGGCACGACCTGGTACCAAACAGTTATCCCAGATAAGCAAGCCAATGATATTTTGGCAGGAGACCAGAATCCGATGGTCCAAGTGACGACTCAGCGGACTGTTAATGCCCCCAATAGCAAACTTGGAGTGGACTGCTAGCCTTTCGTTCGTCCAACCCGCTCACCAAGGGCTCAAAGAAGGGTGTCATTATGAAGCGCAAATCCAAGCGTGAGGAGACAGAATCTGATGATCGGAGTGGCAAATCGGCGGACCATCAATATGTCCTCCAGCCCGAAAAGAGCAAATAAAGCGGGGATAAAAAGCAAAATCACGATCAAATGCAGACGGAATGCCATCAGCAATCGCAACTTGGTATGTAGTCGAGTGATGACTGGGTTGTTGGGTTCGGGTAATTTGGGTCTGGGGAATTTGTGTGGGAAAGTATGCAGTGATCAGTTGGATTTGTAGTTAGTTAGGGCCGCCCTCTCCTCATGTACGTAGAGATCTAGAATAGAAGCACACAACTTGTCGCCAACTCAATCAATGCTCATAGGTAGAAGAACAGCTTTCATCGTATTCTTTTACGCACTAGACCGCTATGTCATGTTGCTGATTGTGTTCGTACTACGAGTTATTATGAGTAGCAAGAGAGTTCTCCCGTTTCGCCAATTTGATACAGGACTGGGTACCAGCCCGTCCCTCTCTTAGATGTAGCTGGCAATTCACTCGCAAGGGACAGGGCTACCCGTGCTCTCCCATAGATCTGATTTTCAATACTTGCAAGACACACAATAAGAGTGCCGTAAGGGTGCCCGAGGGTGATTTGCTATGAGGGATATAATTATCTCGCTACGAAATACCGCGTGGGGCGTGCAGGTCACCGGTAGGCCTGTTGAGGAACAGTGCAACAAATGAACATGTCCAGGTCCATCTAACAGGGAGGAAACCGGTACAAGCCAACGACTGAATCCAGCAGACCCAAAGAGGCCTGTTAATACGATCGATCGATCATACAAGTCTTAGAAAGACAAGAGAAAAAAGGGGGAAACCAAGAAGAAGAAATCAAAAATCGTTATGTAGAAGGAGGAACGACAAGTCCACTTTACTGAATTCATACTCTTATAGCCGCTTGAGAATTTCTGTCCTTTATTTTCTTTTTTTCCCCTGCAGCCTAACCACTTTAAAGGTTAGCTAATCTTTATAAATACTTTGCTTTTATATTAAATATCACCAGATTATAGCCTTGTTTTGTTGTCCCTTTTTTACTCCTCCTTTTTTAATTGTTATAGTTCTGCTTTTTTTTAATGGTATCTGTTAATCCTGTGATGACTTTCCCTATCTGTCTTAATCTGGCCATTTGGCTCTTCCTACCATCTAAATCGAAGGCTTTACCTACTAGCACCTGATTTTAAGGCCTTGGCAGTAGCCGTTCACTTTATAACCTAAGGGGTATCGAGTATTATAGTTCAGTCAACGACTATTACTATTGTTTTATTTGACAGATGTATCGATTAGCATGGCGCATTTGAAGATCGGTCACATATATCAATAAGGCAAGTGTTGATACTTGTTATCGTGTTTGCAATCAAGGATAAATGGTTATTAGTGACTGGTTCCATGTGTAAAGCCTTGTGACGGACTTTGGTTTACATCCATCCTGCTCTCTAGACGGGATGTACTGCTAAGCTTTAGACCCTCACCAGGAAAGAGAGTGATTCGTCATCGTAAGAAAGGCAGATATGGGAAGATGAAAGAAAATGGAAAACGAAGGAAAGTCAAAAAGAGGGAAAAAACGGAAAACGCTGCAGGCACGATTCGAACGTGCGCTCCCGAAGGAAATCGGTTTCAAGCCGATCACGTTAGACCTCTCCGTCACTGCAGCTTGTTGAGGAACAAGGAATCAAGCACGGTATATGTCTCAAAAGATGATGTGCCGTTGTTTAGCCGAACGACGCATTTTTGGGGTTCAGCCAAGAGGGGGTCACATCCCCCCCAATAGCGCCACGCCGCCTTTGGACTAGAGTGGCTCGAGCAGTAAGTAGGTCACACCGTAGAAATGCTGGTTGTACACGGTAATTCATTGCATATTCTGTTGTTGATAGTAGTCACTATTCAGACTCAAGGGCCAAGTAAACAGCAACATCTCCTAGTCTTCTTGTCATCTTTGCAGAGTGAAGTTTACACAACTAAATCATACGCTGACAGGCCTTATAACTGGAAGATTCCATTACCTCCCTTTGACAATCAATGCTATATTGAACCACTGTCATTAGCGGCAGCGCGACTATCTCGGCAATGACTCTAGCTCAGGTTGCCAGGTCAAAGTCAACGCTTATAGCAGCGAACACACATCGAACAATCCTCCAATGACAATCTAGGTTATTAATTGGATTGATTCTAATTCAGGTTTGACATCAGATACATGCAGATATATATATAGACCTCTCTCCGTAGGTATTTAGATCGGACGTCTTGGGTACGGGTGGGTGGCTGGTGTGGCTGGTGTGGCTGGTGTGGCTGATGTGGCTGGGGGTAAAAGTGTGACATTGCCGGCACAGCACATGGAATGTATTACCGTATTTCGAATAACAGTCCAGGTAGTCAGCGGGATTGATATAAATCAGTTTTAAGCATAACATATTGGTTTAGTCAAGAACCATCACGTTCGAAACCGAGCTCGGAGTCGTTATAACACAATTGATCCATCCCAATTAGTCTTCATCACCTCAATTATCGTGGTACTAGTGGACTACTTGAAGGGAATGCGCTCACTTGACGTGAGGCCAGATTCGAACCGTGTGCTTTGTTGCAGATTTCAGGCCGATGTACAACATCATCTTGCCACTTGCTTGCTACCGGTCGTATTTTTCTCCAATCTTTGCAACCCATCCCAAGGTTGGCGTACGGGAAGAAAGAGGAATCAGGTAACTGATTGATATCCCGGTGTAGAATGATAGTATTGGTATGAGGTACACTTCCAACAGACATATTTACCAGCCAGGAGATGTCGAGAGAGTTGTGTTGAGATAAATGGTTGTTGTAAATTTGCATGGGAGTTTCGTGGGCTGGCTAGGAGGTACGTGACAATCTGGTAGGTTAGACTCTAAACTTGGAATGATGTTGACTGACTGATTGGCTTATGAGTAGCGAGGTATTAGTTTACTTAAAAATGTGCAAACTTAAACGTAAAGAAACTAAATCGAAAAATTAAAACGATGACTACCGGGCCGTTAATGTTTTGCAATAACGTATTCCGGAAGAGCAAGGAAATCTGCGACAAAAAGCAAAGGCTAAACCATTATGCCAACCGGAAATAATAGCTACCTTAGTTTCACAACGAGTTTGGCGGGACTTCTGACTGTCCGTATCGACACCCATACCATATATTGTTTCGACATACTTCTTGGCCAGGTATGTCAAAATAAACTGCGCAAGACATAGGACCGGAACTAGCGGGTCAAGCAACTTGAGATGTAGGCAAGTGGTGTACATGATTAGTTAGCTTCGGAGAGCATTTGGGCTCGGGCTGGAAGCATATCTAAGTAAACTTGATGTAAAACGTCTTCCAATTGAGCTAAGAGGTATATATCTTAACGGACATTGGTACATTTCAATATCCCCAGTTATATCCCACACTAACTGGGTCAAGATTAAAGGTTTTTAGTTAGGTAATATCATGACTAGGAAAAGGTTGAGCATACCGTTACTTAACAAACTGACAAACGAGTTAAGCTTTGGAGATAAAGCCACGCTGCTTGTATGAAGCTTTGGACATTCCAGCCAACTATAAGTACAGCATCTATCGATGATGCACATTCGCAGACAGCAGCGGGTATATGGGCTAATATCTAGCGTAGCATATTTACCTCTTCACGTCTAATATTTGCTTACATGGTCCACTTGAGCTTGTAAGAGGGAACTGACAATTTAAAATGTGGTTTTGCTACAAATGCCTTTAACGGCGTTGGATATCTTATGCTGATGTTAGTCGGCGAAGTTATTGTAGGGAGCAATGCAAGCCCCAGACTGTCCAATTGCCATCAACCATCATGGCGAAGACCTTTGGAACTGACAGTGAAAGAGGGCCCCGATGTTGATAGTCCAATTCCCAAGCAATAGGCGCCTCTCCAAGTTGAATTTCGCATGTGACACAATATTACACAAGAGCGCTACGCCTTGTCTCCTTGGAATAGCTGTCCGTATCCTCAATAGCTCATTAGAGAGTACACCATACCCGTTCGTCCGTCCCGTCAGAGAAGCAACAGCGAGAGTATCAGGCTTTGTTGTCCAGATAGCAACTGCCGAAACGTTGAATGTACGCAGCTGTGGCAACTTGGAGGCAACGAGTGAGATGCTTTTGAAGATACTGCCTAAAGGGTTGATCAGGAAACGCTGCTTAAAAAGGGGTGACTAAAAAGCTAAATGGCTAGAGTAGGGGTTATTAACACCCTTTGACCTGTAGCGCCAGAATTATTGAAGTCCATATTGTAGTTCCGATATTGGTAGACAGCTCGAAGCCACGGCTACAGCGATTCCTGTAAGTGAAAGGGATCTAAAAACTTGGACGGACGTTTGACGGAATCGGTTGCTGACATGTTTGACTGCCTAACTCGACTCATATAGGTTTGCAACTGACCTGATCTAAAGCCTAATTTAAATGACTTTGTTTTCGGATAGACGTTCGGGTAATATTAGTCATTAGGAGTGTGCACTCCTCAATAGCTTAGACTACTGTAAAGTTATACATTAACTCTCGAATGAAGATCAAGGTGTTTCATCCTTTATACAATAGTAGTGATGAGCAGCCTACTGCTCATGCAACCGTAGCGCAGAGTGAGTAGCTGATAACAAAGTTAATACGGTATTTTTTAGCTCATCCTTTATACGTAAGTAGATTTTCTTTGCAGTGCCACCCCACCTAAATACTCCCAGATCACCCCGAAACACAACATGTTGCTTGGGCGAGGGGCTACCCCTGGGCCTCTGCCGGACGAACAGGGGGATGGCTAGGGTCCGGGTTGCATGAAACGTCCGATATTAACGCCCGAGAACTCACCGTAATTCAAATAATCCGATCGTAAGCGGTACTGGGTAAGCTAGGATCTGTGGTATGTGTTGTGTGATTCGTTGTCGAACGAGACAGGCGTCTCTGGAGTAGTGTTTTAGAGGATAGTGTGATTAGAAACCAAGTTTTAAAGGCTATAGCGAGGCGGTCTAATAATGGCTAAATGGCACACGCACTTGCGAGTAATAGACTGGGCACACAGGTCGGACGATGCTGACTGATCTCGTACTTGTTGTACTAGTTTACACATTAGATTCAAGCATTTCAGCCGTACTAGTTCAATATGACAATGTGCACCACGGCGCTCATTCTCGTCCCACGGGAGAGCCCCTGTACTGCTCCTGGACGGTTACCCTCAACGCCGTTAATGCGGTTTTCCTCGAGAATATCCCTGAGGACCAGCAATTCATCAGCAATCAACTCTGTATCGATGAACAGCCCCAGCCCCAACCTTCACTCGGCTTGGCTTTTCTTTAGATCCGAAGCATCATTCCTTGAAGGCGTAGCGCGTTTCGCAAGGGCAAAGCAATCCATATCGACCGGTCGCAAGGTATCAGATCCCAGGCTCATCATTTGTAGATCCACAATTCATCTGATCTCGTAGAGGAAGACCTTTGTAAATTACCGGGGAAGGTCAAGCTCGGAAGGCTGAATTCAGACAATGGCGACACGATGGCGGCGATGCTATCAGAGGTGGGGCTCTGAGGTTCAATGCCCGATGGCGGTTCGGCGGCGGAAAGTAGAAGCGCGTCCGCTGGACTGAGCGGCCTGGCTTCATCCTCATCGGTATTGGGCGGCACCCAGGTAGTAGATTCCCTAACACCCTGGTTCCACCACTGGTTCTCGAAGCCATTATCCACTGTCATCAAGGCCATCGACAGAGACTCCAACTCTCGAGTGCGCTGCGGGTCATCCACTCCACGCCGCCTGGTGGGTGGGGAGAGCGGCACAGTAACGGGGTGGCTCGCATTCGCATTGCAGTGCGGCTCCTCTTGGTCGCCGTCTTGACCGAATTCAGAAGGCCATGCGTCGGCAGTCCAGGGCAGTCCGTCTTCCCCTAATCGATAGTGGCTCGGATTTCCTGTCCTCTGCTCTCGCCGGGGGAAGATGGTAGCCGAAGGTGCGGCCTCTTGATCCCACGGGCTGTCGTTGACTGGCGGCGGGGCCGAGCTGCCTCTCTCGTGGGCCGAAGATGCCCGGCGTGCTTCTAACCTGGGACCATTGTCCAGAACACGCGAGTTGCTGGAGCGACCTCGAGGGCGGTCGGCATCTCGCTGATGCCGCTCGTTGTGATAATGATGGTGATGATGCTGGTGTTGGTGATGGTGATGATAATGATGGTGGCGGCGTGAAGAGTCCTGCCGCCGGTGCTGGCGGGGCTCCGAAGCAACCAGATAATTTGTGTTAGCCGGGACTACCTGGCGTGGGAAGAGACCCGACTCCCTCGCGTTCTTCAGGTTCTTGGAGGTGTAAGTGAGGGTGTGGCTCCGGGGTACCTGGCGGTCGGACCATGAGAGCCCCCAGGATAAGTGGACGAAGACCTGTGGTTTTGATAAGTGAAGACGTTCGTTGTGTGCTGGTGACTGGTGGGCCATGGTGGCGGTTGTCTGGACTCTCTCACTGTCGCACTCTCGCAGCTCCCGTCTCCTGGCGGTTTGGAGTTTGCTTTGGTCGGAATTCTAGTAGGGTGTTCAAGAAACAAAGGGTCCAAGAGGACGAGGGTGAGGGTCAGGGTAGGCTATAAGACAGATGGGCGGGACGACAGGCGGCGAGCACAAGACAACGGGGGATTGGTCCGTTTGACCACATCTCGCAGC